ATGGAACACCAAACTCCTGATGTTAACCACAAATCCAAGCCTTGGATTGCTTAATATTTTGTATTCCTATAATGAGGTTCTCATTTGTCACTATCCCAGCACATACAACAGCACATTTTCTAAAGGTTCGATCTATTTTTCCCCAGCCATATATCAATATAAATATTGTGTGCAGGGATGCAATTATGTAACAAAAAGTAGTTGCTAATACTTGGAGGTGAATTCCATCCTGTCCTTTCCACCAGAGATGTTAAAAAGTGGTTAATTAGGCAATGGTGTAACCATTAAAAACCTTAGCGATTACACATGCTGGGCTCTGCAGAATAAAGTTTATACTGCAGAGTCTGCAGTGCAGCCGGCTCCCTGGAAACAGGGCTGGCACCCAGTGCATGCTGAAAGCTTTCTCCCAGCTGCTGGCCCCACTTCCAGGGAGCCAGCTATGCTGCAGGCTCTGCAATATAGGTTTTATTCTGCAGAGCCTGCAGCATAGGGTAGCAGCCGTCTCCCCGCAAGATGGTGTGCGCTGGAAGCCAGCTTTTACGCCTGCTCCTGACTGCCACCCTGCTCCCGGGAAGCCGACTGCTGCCCTGTGCTGCTGCCTCTGTTGTGCACCAGCTCCCACCTACTTACTGCCTTGCACTGCTGCCTCTATATCAGAGGCAGCAGCATGGGGCTGCAGCTGCCTTCTCAGGATCTGATGTGGTCTGGCAGCTGGTGTGTAGCCATTTTGGTAACTGATAAGCTCATGCTTATTGGTTAATAGTTGGAACAGTTACACTGTTACATCCCTATTTTCCACATCATTGTACTGTCTCACTAGGTCTTCACATAACAGCAATTTGTTGCTCATAAATACCAAATAATCCTGAAAGCACACTCAGATTGAAGAAGCCTCAGAAATGGCCTCTTAATTAGATTAAAAAAGAACTTTGTTTAGGTGTTGTCCAATTGTGTAAAAGATCAACATTTTCACCAGAGGAGAAAACTTAACTCTCTGCTGTACTGAGTGATACCAGTAAATAAATTAAGCTGACTGAGTGGAGCAGACTTGACCACTTCCTCTTTGTAATTGTGGCTGAATTCACTGCAGCCTAATATGGAGGCATACTAGAATCTCGTGAAAACACACCAATTCGGCACTATAATTTCAGTACAGGAGGTGCTGGTACTAGCTAGAAGAGCTGTGTGAATCCTGGTCCTTTTGGTTGGCAAGGATTTGTACCAGCATATTATCTGATTTTGTCCTGTTCTTTCTCCCCCACTCCCAGCCTCAGGTTCCACTCTAAGACTACGTCCACACTGCATCCCTCTTGTGCAAAAGCCTATGGAAAGGAAGCGTGGATTAGCATATTGCTGCACGTCGTTTGCATAATTAATTAGGGCCCATTTTTGTGCAAGAGGCTTTTACACAAAAAGGAGCTTTGTAGATGGCTCCTTTTTGCGCAAAAACGGCCCCTAATTAATTATGCAAATGAAGTGTGGCAATATGCTAATCTGTGCTTCATTTGCATAGGCTTTTGTGCAAGAGGGATGCAATGTAGATGTAGCCAACGTTTTGGTTTCACAAAATTTGAGTGAAACAACTTTAATGTGAGAGATTAGTATCCAAATAAAACAATTTTGCACAGATTCTGTGTGGAACTTTAAACTCGGCCAGGTTTGTGAACTCCAGATATCTTTTTAATTAATTTGGTTTGTATTGTAAGTTTGTAATGAAACCTAAAGTCAGGCAAGGTTTCATTACAATGATAAGGGGGCTGGAGCACATGACCTATGAGGAGAGACTAAGGGATTTGGGATTGTTTAGTCTGCAGAAGAGAAGAGTGAGGGGGGATTTGATAGCAGCCTTCAACTTCCTGAAAGGAGGTTCCAAAGAGGATGGGGAGAGGCTGTTCTCCATAGTGACGGATGGCAGAACAAGGAGCAATGGTCTCAAGTTACAGTGTGGGAGGTCCAGGTTGGATATTAGGAAAAACTGTTTCACTAGGAAGATGGTGAAGTCCTGGAATGGGTTACCTAGGCAAGTGGTGGAATCTCCATCTCTAGAAGTTTTTAAGTCTTGGCTCGACAAAGCCCTGGCTGGGGTGATTTAGTTGGGATTGGTCCTGCCTTGGGCAGGGGGCTGGACTTGATGACCTCCTGAAGGCTCTTCCGGCTCTGATTCTACAGAAGCACATCTTTAAAGTAATGCAAATAGATGGAATCAGGTAGTATAGATACTGCTGAGCCAGTGTCCAACATTAGCTGAATAGGATGTGATTTGCCTGAAGATGAGGCATAAACATTTCCAGTGTACCTTATCTGTTCTGGAATATGTGCAGTAGTGATTTCGTCCACACTCACACAGTAACATCTGGTATTGTAACTGTATGCACCTGTTTATTGGACTGGCTACTGCGGCATACCTTAGCAAAATGCCCAATCTTTTTGCAGTGATTGCACTGAGCTACTTTTGCAGGACATCTTTTGTAGCTTGCGAGGTGTTGTGAGGAGCCACAGTGAAAGTGTGCTTTTGCTGTGCTTTGAATTTGCCGATTCTGTGGTTTTTCATTATCTTTCTCCTTATAATCATTTGTCTGCAGTGATAGTGGACTTTTCTGCAAAGGAGTCACAGCTTGGATTGGGCCTCTTGTATCCATACTCATTATTTTGACTTCTGCTATAGCTGACTCAATCGGGGTAGCAATAGTTATTGCTTTCTCCAGTGTAAGTTGTGGTTCTAAGAGCAAGCATTCTCTTACACAAAGCATAGTTTTCTCAATGAACTGGTCTCTAATCGTCTCATCTGCCATATTCCCAAAGCCACAAATTACAATCAGACTCCTCGTAGAAGCAACATACTGCATTATAGTCTCCCCTGATTTCTGCTCATGCTGGCGAAATCTGTAGCGATTAGCTATTACATTCACTTTTGGCACAAAAAAGTTCTTCAATGCAGTGAGTGCAGTCTCATATTTATCATCTGCAAGGAGAAAAGTGTAAAATATACGCTGCCCTTCTGCTCCAAGGCAGTGGATTAGCAGAGCCCATTTTCTTACTTCAGAAATCTCTGTAGCACTGATTGCAAGCAGATAAGTCTCAAACATATGGATCCAGGCAGTAAAAGCAATTGGAGGCTCACTTGGGCTTTGCAGAAAGGGTGCAGGTGGGGTCAGAGGCAGAAGATCCATCCTTGTTGCCAAAATGTTGTATCATGCAAGCAAGGTACTAACAGACTTCAACAGGTCTTTATTTACCAAAAGTGGAACTTCTTTACAAAGCTGCTGCATCCCCCCCCCCCCCGCCTCCTTCCTGTTTCCTGTGCTTCCAGATTCCCACCAGCCAATGCTCCCAGTTCTAAACATTACAAGCAGCATCTAAAACACCACAGTGTTTGAGAGAGTTCCTGCCCTAAATGCATAAAAACTAAACAGACAAGACAGGAGGAGAAAATATGCCTAATTCCCATTTTACTGATAGGAAAACTGAGGCATGGAATGATTAAGTGGTTTGACCAGTTTTATACAGGAAGTCTGTGGGATAGCCAAGAACTGAACATGGATTTCCTGAGTGTCTCCATTGGTTAACCACAAGACTATCCTTCCATGTTTCTCTGTTGAAACAATTTGAATAAACGTAAGTGGTTCATGTACATGTCCTGTATAGAATAACTGCAAATAGTCCAGGCTACCGCTTGCCTTCCTAACCTGCTTTGTTAACCTATTATGTTTTTTCCATGGCTAAGCATACAGATATATGCACTCTCTCACACACCCACACATTGATTTTCTTGTCCAGAATAAGTTGTTAGAATCCAAAGGAACAGAGCAGAGAGTCACGTGAATAACTACTCCATCTTGTGCAGTATTCCTGCCTCAGACATAGTATTTCACTTTGTCCAGTTATGAGAATCCCTTAAAAAGAAAAGCAAACTGGAACAAATAACAGCTGTGCTCCTACATGGGCCACTCTGTGGTCTAACAATGTGCCTTGGGGGAGCTAACTGAGGACAGTCACAATGACCTTACGCAGCTTAAAACGAGGAATTCCCCTGCACCTTCCTGTTAAAGGAAATGTCTCATTTCAAGGGGCTCCCATCACAGAGCATGTAGGACATTGTGCTCTGTATTAGTAATCTAATCTCCAAATGTTTCTTTTTTATGAGATGGGGAAAATATTAAAATTGGGATGGGGATGATGAACTCTACATCTAGCAGCTGCTGTCAGGAAAAGTCTGCTTACAACTCTAAACAATTGCCTGCTGTTTAAAGGTTTGATGCAATGAATTAAATCATTGTCCTGCTAAGTATTAGGGAAATATTCTCCTTTGTTTAAACTGACATTAAGAAACTTACATATTTTCAATAACTTTGATAGCCAAGTTTTTCATGCCAATAATGTATATGGACCAGCATCTTCCAAACACAAACCTGCATTTGTACATGCACAGCCTGAAGTGCCCTTTCAGCCTTCTTCTAAAAATTACACCCTACAGGTCTGACTCCAGTATATGAAGTAGGTATTATCCACCCCTCCTGGCATCAGACTGCATTCTGCATTTTGTGTACTTCAGTACCTGAACTTCATTTAGCAAATGGGCAGATTGCACTCACTTTAAATGTTCTAGTTTTTGAGGGCTTCAGCATTTTTTAAATGATCAAGTATAAGCAAGAAACAGAGACATTTTGTCTATAATCAAATTCCCATCAATAGCTCACCCATTCTGAACTGCATTTAAAATAATCATTTAAAAATTCTTTGAGGATTCTATCTAGGGATTCTCCAGCCTGTTCAGACAGGTTACCTTTTTTCACATGGTCTAAAACACAGCATTAAAGTATGGTGAATGAACAGCATGTAGCTTATGAACCCATTGTTACAGTAAGAATCAGTGTTATTCACCAAAGGATGTGCAGGAGCAGACTCCGGTTATGCAAGCTAATTCTGAGAGATTCATCATCTTGCCCATGGGATTTATGAAAGCTTTTATTGTAATTGCTGTTATAATGTTGTCCCTACAGTGGCCAGTTTGCGATAGTGAAGAAATGCCGAGAGAAAAGCAGTGGCGTGGAATATGCTGCCAAATTCATCAAGAAGCGTCAGAGCCGGGCCAGCCGCCGTGGGGTGAGACGTGAGGAAATTGAGAGGGAGGTGAACATTCTGCAGCAGATCCTGCATGCCAACATCATCAAGCTGCATGACGTCTATGAGAACAGGACAGATGTGGTCCTCATCCTTGAGCTGTGAGTAGAGGGATTTCCTATCCTCTGCTGCAGGATGAGGCAAATGGGAACAGGAAAAGACTGTGGGAGGCCTCCAGAGCACAAAAGTGCTCTTAAAATGGAACTGCTGAGCCGCTGGGCTAGAGAAGCCAACAGCAGAGATAGGCAGGGAAATAGAAGGAGGTCACCAGTAAACAGCCTCCCCTTAATAAATCAGCCCACGCTCTAGAGACACGTGTCCCTGATAGTCATCTGGGGTCATTGTTGCCAAACCAGGGAGTCCTGTTGGTTTGTAAACACGGAGATTACATAATGTTCATTCGTGGCTAGCCTAACATGTACATTTAGGAAGTGCAAGTGTCTCGACAAGGCCCCGTTTCCTCATTTCCTCTCCCCTTCTCCCCCCTCCCCCCACCTCAAGTTCATCCACCTGTCAAATGCTCTGCGTCCTCTTGAGGCTCCTGCCTTTTCACCAGGCCCATATTTTTCTTACTCTGGTTTACAGCTGGTGCCTCAAGCCCTAATGCTCTGATGGCTGTGAGGCACTAAGCATTGCCTGGCACTCTTCTCTCCTCCCTAAGCACTAGCTCTGCTGTAATGGGTGAGCCGGGGATGGGGATCTGATAACAGACAGAATGTCTCTGCTTCTCACTTGGCTAGAGAGTTGGGAGGGAGGACGTTGTGGATTTGTTGGGAGTGGAAGCGTGAAGGAAAGCTCATGTTCCAAATCTGTCACACTCATTAGGGAGACTGGCAGAAGTTTGGACCAGTTTGTAATGCTCTGCAGACATGTTAGCCCATCCCTTACTGAGGTGTTATACTGTAGTAATAGAATCCCAGCCCTGTCAGCAGTGCACACGTGGTACTGTTTGTATCCCATTGCCGACTGGTTTGGCTAGATTGAGCAGGTTGTAGCGCCCTAGGGTAGCGCTGGGCATAGTGTCATTTGCCTGACCTGGCTTTTTAATTAGATGATTCCTTCAAAGATTTCTCAAACATATCTAATACACAAATACTCTCAAAGGTCATAAAAAACCCAAGAGTCAAGCTAACGCAGGGATCTGTTGTATTAATTTAGGTGGAATAAAGGGGCCCAAATAGTCAAAGACATCCAACATTTAAAGAGCTTTAAACAAAGTTTAGGGTTTGGTACACAGAGACCTCAGCCCACTTAGTACCATGGCAAAAACAAAATACTTTTAAACCTTTTATTAAAGATACAGGAAAGAGAAAACCAGTTAAAGCATTTCAAATGTGAAGCATTACATAAGGATTTCATTTTAACGCCATCCCTTCTTCCCTTTGCCTCTAGCTGTAGAGAGGCTTTAGACAGGAAAATCCCTGGTTTGCTGGTGGTATTAAAGGAGGTGTGACTGTCCTTTTGGGAGAAAGAAAGGAAGGTAATTGACATGGGCTGGGGTTGTTACTGCTGCGGTTAAAGTCTAGTCCAGTTTTGTGGAAGGCAAAACAAGATAATACACACAAAAGGGCAGAGAAAAGAACAGCATAGGCAGAGAATGGATCCTCCATCTCTGGTGTTAACTCTCATCTGCAACCTTGCTGTTTGAGATACATGGACACAACACCCCAGCTTGTTATGCACTTTTTGAATCCAGCAGACTTGTGCTGGTATTGAATGTTTAGGGTATGGGTTTTAGCTGCCTTTTTGGTCACAGGCTTGCAGTAATGTTGCAAAATATGCAGTGTTGGCCAGCTAAACTAGACTCTCATTGGGCAGATAGAAAAAGGAGAAGTACAGGCAGTCCCCGGGTTACGTACAAGATAGGGACTGTAGGTTTGTTCTTAAGTTGAATCTGTATGTAAGTCGGAACTGGCGTCCAGATTCAGCCGCTGCTGACTTACATGCAGCCAGTTCTGACTTACATACAGATTCAACTTAAGAACCCCAAGCGTCCCCAAGTCAGCTGCTGCTGAAACTGATCAGCGGCTGATTCCAGGAAGCCCGGGGCAGAGCAACTCTGCCTCAGGCTTCCTGTAGTCATGTGTGCTCCTGGCAGGGCAGAGGAAATGTCATGCACTACCCCCCACCCCGAGGCCCTAACTAACCAGCCTGTGGGCAAGGAGCAGCAGGGCCTCTGCAGGCCAGATCAATCTGCTTTGTGAGCCTAATCTGGCCTACGGAGGCTCTTTTGTCCACCCCGGTGTAAAGCCTATTTTTTTCATTAGGCTTTTACCCAGCTTTAAGGTTATGGGGTTATATTTTAATAACAGGGGTGCTGCTGGGTCGCTCACCTAGTGCCGCTCCTCGCCTCTGGCAAAGCCTCAGAGGCGCGGGACCCCGCCGCGGCTGCGGCTTTGCTCCCGGTGCCCCTGGTCTGCTGGAGATGGTCCCCAGCAGACCAGGAGCACCAGGAGCAGCTTTTCTCGCCCCGGAGGTCGAGGTGGCGGGACCGCTGCCCGCGAGCTCTGGGGCGAAAAAGCCCCGTTCGTAAGTGCGGATCCGACATAAGTCGGATCCGCATAAGTCGGGGACTGCCTGTATAGGAAAGAGAAGAAATAAAGTGGGGAGGAAAAAGGACGCATTGTACCAGAGAGCCAGAGTGGGGACCAAAAGGTATCAGGAAAATAGTTCTATTGGCTTCTACCTGTAGCAGAAATCCCCAATGACTGGGACACTAGGTGAAGTTACTACAAAAAATTCTTTCCCCGGTATCTGCCTGGGAGATCTTGCCCACATGCTCAGCATCTAACTGATTGCTATATTTGGGGGTCAAGAAGGATTTTTCCCTGGAACACATTGGCAGAGACTCGTGGGGGTTTTCACCTTCCTCTGCAGCATGGGGCAGAGGTCGCCTGCAGATTTAAACTAGTGTAAACTGGTGAATTCTTCAAGTGATTGCTCACAAGCATTCCAATAGATGTGTGCGTGCGCCGCATACGTGTTGGAGAATTTTTCCCTTAGCAGTACCTGTTGGGTTGGCTGTGGCTCCATCATGGTGCGATATATAGAGCACTGCTCACCGCCCACCCTCCCAGTACCTTCTTACTGCCAGTAATGATTGTTGGAGTGTCTCAGTGCTCTTGCCTTGAAAGTGCATTCTCAGAATCCGTTATAGTTAGTCTAGTGGCTGGTTTTTCAGTTTAGCTCTGTTACTAAGTTATCATTAGTTAGCTGGGGGGGGGTTGCTCCCCCTCCACTTGACAGCTCCCCTAACTGGGGCATTGCTGCAGGCTCAGGGGTTCAAAGTGTGCCACTGGGTACATGTCTACTCATACCTAGACAACTGGCTTATCAGGGGTGAGTCCAGAAAGCAGGTTCTGGGGCACGTTTCCCCGGCCAGGACCATCTTAGAATCATAGACTCATAGGCTTGGAAGGGACCTCAGGATGTCATCAACCCCCTGCCCAAAGCAGGACCAATCCCCAATTAACTCATCCCAGCCAGAGCTGTGTCAAGCTGGGATTTAAATCCTCTAGGGATGGAAATTCCAGCACCTCCCTAGGGAACCCATTCCAGTACTTTACCACCCTCCTAGGGAAATAGTTTTCCTAATATCCAACCTAGACCTCCCCCACTGCAACATCTTCTCCAACCTAGGCCTCCTTCTGAACAAACCCAAGTCCACCCTGGTTCCAGCCCAAAGAATAGAGTTTATCAGGACCTCTTGGACTCCATCATGGCAACAGCCTCCCTGCCAGAGAGCCACTTAGGAGCCATGTAGGACCTTATCCACTCCATTCAGCAGTTCCCCACTACCACGACACAGACCTAGGAGCGCATGGCGGCTGCACTTCGTTGCATCTGACGAAGTGGGTCTTTGCCCACGAAATCTTATGCTCCAATTAATCTGTTAGTCTATAAGGTGCCACAGGTCTCCTTGTTGCTTTTGCCGATCCAGACTAACACGGCGACCCCTTCGATACTTGCTCTGATACAGCATGCCAGGCAGTACTTATGCCCTCTGCAGTTATGGCTGATAGACTGGTGACCCTCAAGAACCAGCTCCTCCAGTCCCTGTCCTGATGGTTGCAGCCTCATGTGGTCCAAACAGAGGTTCCCTTCCACAAGCCACAGCCCACCTTCACCCTCACCATGTCTGCTTCAGAAGCAGAATGGAAGGGGGGGTACCTTGGCACTCTCAGGGTACAGGGGAGGTGGTTCATGGCAGAGCTCTCCCTACACATCAGTGTCAGGGAACTGCGGGTGATGCACCTCACAGGCTAGGCCTTCCAAACTACCTGCAGTGCCGGTGTGCCTCAGCACTGACAGACAACATGCAATGATGTTCTGTATAAAGAAAGAGGGTGGCGCTCACTCCTCTCCTTTGTGCCGTGAAGCCCTGGTCCTTTGGGACTTTTGAATATCCCATCACGTCCAGCTGTACCCTTTGTACCTACTGGCAATGCACAGCAATTAGGCCACTCATTCAGCACCCAACAATGGTCTTTCAGGGAAGACATCACCTTATCCATCTTCTGTAGGTGGGGTCATCCCCAGGTGGATCTCTTTGCAATCAGGAGCAACCTCGAGTGCTATCTGTTCTGCTTCTTCCAAAATCACAGCTCCTTCCAAAAATGGAAGATTTTTTTGCTGGTGTTCTTTCTAAAAGCCCATGCTAACTATAGGTAAAGATCCTTCCATTTTCTGGATGTCATGCACGCCCTGGCATTTTACATTGACATTACAAGACTATTTCATAAATCAATGCAACTCGTTATTGCAATAGCAGAGAGGATAAAGTGCCTTTCCATATCAGCCCAGCTTCTTTCACCCCGGACCATATCCTATATCAGGGTCTGCTACAATCTGGCCAAGGTCCAATGCTGACACTAACAGCCCATTTCACAGGGCTGCAGGTTTCTTCTGCAGTGTTCTTTGTGCAGGTCACTGTCCAGGTCATCAGCAGGGCAGCCATATGGTTGTTGACCCACACCTTCATGTCTCACGTCACCATTACAAGATGATGCAGCCTTTGGCAGGGTGGTTCTGCAGTCAGCAGCCAAGTGATCTTCAACCACAGTTGGTTGGAATGCACCTGAGCAATCACTCAAAGAAGAAA